TCCGCAGTGGGCGTACTCGTAAAAAGGAGAAAAAACGTCACCAGCTATCTGGTAAAAATGCATGTTTTTATACTTATTATAACTTCTCTAAATTTGAGAGCCTGAAGCAAAGCCCCATATGTAAGGTGGATCGTCAGCTTCGAGAATTAAATAGTCAGCCATGTGATCGCTATGATTTATTATGAGAGTGGAATCGACTTTAATAGTTCCCTTCTACTTAGGAACAAATTGAACAATCGCGAAGTTACTTAAAAGCTGGTTTGGGGACCGTAAATAGACAAACTGATGGGCAAAAGTTGACTTGAATGACTAACTGTTGCCTTACATAATCTAAAAGGTTACAGCATTCTAAAGGAATTTATAGACCCTATTACTTTTATACAATGGTGAAAGTAAACAAAAAGTGAACAGCAGAGCAGTCCACAATAAATGGCAAGCACGAATGATAGATTATGACTGATAATATTAAACTGAACACGAGTATAATCTTTAATAGACGAGATTATGTCAATTATCATAACCTTCGAATTCATATGGGATAGACAAGAAGAAAATAAGTTCGCATTATGTAAATGCAAATTAACATACTATTCATTTCCACTAGGGGCCGATTTTACTTGCAGAAAATTTAAGCAAATGCCATTGAGTTTAGATTCGTGTGTGTTCATGTACCATTGCAGTGTAAGTCTCAAGCATAGACACCTCACCTTCTATGTTGCTTCGTCAGTCGACGCTCACGGGTAATCTCTATCCACGAAGAACATTATGCTTCATTGTCTTACTGTCCCATCTGGTTACATAACGAAATGATATCATGTCGTGTACCCGAAGATCTTGCTACCTTGAGGTCGGCTCATTAGTCCACCATAAAATGGCCGATAAAATTTCCACCCGAAAAAAGTACCCACACAATTTTCCCAAAACCGTTAACCTTTTGCATCAACTCGTTTAACTATTGGTTATTATTGGAATTTTAAGCCATCTTGGAAGACCAAACTTTAAGATTCCTATGGCAGCATTAGCTTTTGTGTGCTTACCGTTCACGTCCGCAGATTCATGACCGCGGGCAAACGAAATCCAGCAATAAGACATACCGTCAAGCCAAGACCTGTATTTTGCTAATATTGCAGTTCTAATTGGTTAAATTTATAACATTAACCGCACTTACTCGCTGTACGACCTCCATTCAAAGTAAATGATGCAATTTAGTTAAGTTGGGGAACCTTATAAGGCTGATGTCCAACATCCCTTAAAGCATGCTACAGGAAAAAGTTCACCATTCAGACAAATGGCCATCAAAAGGAGTCCCTTGAGGGTAGCAATTTTAATTAACCATAGCATATACTCTGCTTCATCCTAGCTATCAGAAGGTTGAATATTTCAATACCTGGACAATTAGTACATCGATT